AAAAAAAAAAAAAAAAAAAGATTTGCTTCTTCCATCTTCCTTATTTTGGCTACTTTATACATACTATTTTTAAATTAAAAACCATTTACTGGAAGCCTTGCTGCCTGAGATACCGCACTCCCGCTAACTATTCATCCTGTTAATTGCCTTAAGAGCTTTGATCAACTCCCAGTAACCAAACTGCAACTCTGTAAAAGAAGCATATTTGCATATAAGATAGAGAGACAACGCACGGATACTTGAAAGCTCGCACCTGTGTCTGGTACTCAAGCACTGGGATTTCCTCGTCCTCTGTTGGTCCAAACTGACGCCGAGTGGCTGAGAAGCGAACTGCGATGGACACGGCCAGCTTCAAGTTAGCGACTGCCATGCCCATGATGGCGACCCGGCCCCAGGACAAGCTCCCCAGGGATGCTCCTAAGCGCTGCCTGGCGTCCTGCGGAAGGAGTGCGGATGAGGAGTGCGAGCTTGCAAATCGTGGACAGGTGGGGGCACCGGGGAGGGGACACCCAGCTGCCTGGAAAAGGGACAATCCCAGCAGAGGGGACGGTATGACAGTGCTGTGTAAGGGTGCCCCCTCTCTGGGGACCTGCAAACCCTCTGCCTGGAGATCCCAAGGCCCCCCTTTAATCTTGGCAAGAATCAGATGTGGCCTGGACTGCCAGAGGACAGGTGTGGAGTCCATCAAAGGCAATTATTCTCCGGGGTTTCACGGACACTTCTTGTTCCTTGTGTGCCTATGAATGGGCAGTTCCTTTACATGCGTCCAGCTGGAATCTTCTGTCCACCATCTCCTTGCAGGCACACCGGTGTCACCAGAGGCTGTTGCTAAGGCCTGCCAGGCTGCTGTGAAAGCGTCAAATCTACAGCCCTTGCCATGTGATCTGACTGTCCTTCCTGCCCTGCCTCGCCCCTTGCTGCCCCTACCGGGGCCTGCTCATCGGACCATCTGGCTCCTTCTTCCAAGGCAGCATGGTAATTGTGTGTCTGAGCCTATCAATCACACTCTCACATAGGAATCACAGTCTCGTTGTGTTAAAACCCTGTTTAAGCTGGGCACGGTGGCTCATACCTGTAATCCCAGCACTTTGGGAGGCTGAGGTGGGTGGATCATGAGACCAGCCTGGCCAACATGGTGAAATCCCATTAGCCAGGTATGGGGGTGGGTGCCTGTAATCCTAGCTACTCGGGAGACTGAGGCAGAAGAATCACTTGAACCCGGGAGGTGGAGGTTGCATAAAAAAAAAAAAATACATATATATATATACACACACACACACACACACACACACACACAGACACACAGTGATTTTCCTTTAAGAGTATAATATATGATTTCACTGTCTTCTTGCATTCACTGCCATGCGTGAGAAATCTGAAGTTCAAGTGCTTTTTATGCCACTGGAATCAGATTTGGAAGATTCTAGAATTTTCTCTTAGAAATGCCTCAATTTCCCTACTGTGGGCCTGGGTACGTGCATAGGCATTTCCTTACTTATCTTGGTCCTCCATGAGTCCCTTCAACCAAAGGCCTTCTTCCCCTTTCATTTAGAGACGTTTCTTTCCTTTATTTCTCCAAACTTCTATTTTTTTTTTTTTTTTGAGATAGAGTCTCGCTCTGTTGCCCAGGCTGGAGTGCAGTGGCGCAATCATAGCTCACTGTGGCCTGACTTCCTGGGCTCAAGCAATCTGCCCACCTTGGCCTCCCAAAGTGCTGGGACTGCAGGTGTGAGCCACCGTGCCCAGCCTTCACTTTCTTTAATTCTCTCCTTCGGCCTTTTAGAGGACAAGCTTCCCATCTCTAATTCATCCTCCTGCGACGGTCATCCCATCCACTGTGCTCTTTCTTCCAGCCACTTTATTTTCATTGATGTGGGATTCACGTCTCCGTCTGTAAGCGGCTCCTGGTCTCCTGTTGCTGTTCCCACTCTGCGCACTCTGTGTGTCTCCGGGAGTCCCCGCCTCGCTCCTTTTCCAGCTGTGCTCCTTGCACGTCAGAGGGTGCGTGCTGCTGGGGACTGTTCTTCCGAGGGTACGTGCCCGGGTGCGGCCCGCCTGCTGTGAGCTCACAATTCCTGAGGGCCATCAGCTACGCCCTGGACCATCGCTGCCTGGGACCATGGTCTCTCTTCCGCTCTCCACGAACTTAAGCCAGGCCTGGGTTCTGGACACCAGGGAACTGTTTGTTGCCCCCCTTTGTGGACAGTTCACTCATCTCCTGCGAGTCCTCAGGGAAGCAGCACTGGAAGTAGGCGGTCCCCTAACTGCAGCCCCCAAGGGGGGGTGGGCACCCCTGGCAGCCAGTATCAGGCGTCAGGCCCGGACTCACCCCTGGACACCAGCACTGGTGCTGCGGTTGCCCCAAGAGTCCCCTTCTAGCGGGAGCACCAGAACCAGAAAAAGTGTGTCCCGGCGATGCCCGGCCATGCAGAGGTGTCGCTGCCTTAGGCACAGGGAGGGCCACAGAGCCAGGCCGTGCAGGGGAAGGCGCTTGGGAAATGCTGCACACAAATGCCCCCTCACGCCTATACCTTAAAGGGGCTGACGTAGGTGCCCTCGGGGGTGACGTCTCCCATCCGGTTCAGGAGGCTCTGGCGAGGAACTCTGACCTTGTGGAACACAGCGAATCTGTGTGGGAAGCAGTAGGGCTTCGGTTAAACGGGCGTCCTGCCTAAAGGGCGATGCCATCCCGGCAGAGGGCGTGCTAGTCGACAGGGGCGTTCAACAGGATTTCTATTCAAAAAAGCAGTCTAGGTCAGGAACTGTGGCTCACACCCATAATCCCAACTCTTTGGAAGACCAAGGCAGGAGGATTGCTTGAGCCCAGGAGTTCGATTTCAGCCTGGGCAACACAGTGAGACCCTGTTTCTAAAAAAAAATGTAGACTAAAGAATAAACGCGTTGTGTGTATGGCAGGTTGTACTCCAGATATTTATCAGAAAAAGAGGGAATTGTGTTTCCAAAGATTGGAATCTCTGATTCTCATACTTCAATCCCAAACCAGAACCCACAATGTGATAATATCCGCAAAATGAGGTTTAAAACTCTTAAGTCAAACAAAACACTGGTGTGATGGCATCGGTGCTCCCACAGAAGCAAATTCACTCCTTTTGAACAGGTGAGCGCAGGGTTACACACACGTCGTTACAGATTACGATGTATTAATAGCCAACGATATCTATTATGTTCCTCTGGTCAGGAAAACCCATTTCACAACAGTCTAGGGAATAAGGCTATGCTACGCTATGGATATTACATAAACTGTGCAAAAAATCCCCAAAACAAACTTCAAAATGTCAATAGTTCCTATAGCAACCTACCTGATGATTCGGCTCACTTGCAATGCCTTCGAGCAGAGGCCCCAACTTTTCTGGCACCAGGGAGGGGTTTATGGAAGACAATTTTCCACAAATGGAGGAAGGCGGGGGTGTTTTCAGGATGATTCACGCACATTAGATTTATCGTGCACTTCATTTCCATTATTATTACGTTGTAACATATACTGAAATAACTCTACAACTCACCACAATGCAGGGTCAGTGGGAGCCCTGAGCTTGTTTTCCTCCAACTAGCTGGTCCCATCTGGGGTGATGGGAGACGGGGACAGATCACCCGGCGGTAGATTCTCACAAGGGGTGCTCACATGCGCTGTTCACAACAGGGTTCACGCTCCTAAGAGAACCTAAGGCCGAGGTTGAACTGATGGGAGGCGGAGCTCAGGCGGTCCTGTAACATACTGGGAGCCGCTGCAAACGCAGAGGAAGCTCACTGCTCACCTGATCATGCTCACTCTTGCTGGGGGGCCTAGTTCCTAACAGGCCACAGACCAGTGCCAGGGGGTTGGGCAGCTCTGCCTTACAGAACAGTCTTTTACTAAGCTACAGAAAACACTATCTATAAAGAAGCATTGCACACGCCGGGAAGGGAACCAGATGCACCTGTTCCCTCTGCAAGGGCTCTTCCTTAAGTCCTGCTCTGGGGGCCCCCACAACTCCCTGGCCACCTGGTCCCGGGCTGCCAGCTCTGCCTCAATGGCCTGATTTCGCTTCCTCCCCTCCATCCCCAGCCAGGCCCCAGCACCTCCACCCCTACTCAGCTCTCCTGGGCTGACTTCCTGCAACAAGCGGATTGACTCTTTCCCAACTCCACCTTTTCAGCCCATCCTCCCTGTGGGAGCAGGGCCCTTTCCCAAAGGCCTTCAGATGGGCATGGCGGTGCCCCGGGGAGGCTGTCCTATCCCTACGGCCCACAGTCTCAGCCCAATAGAGACACATGGAGAGCGTGCACTTCAGCAGCACGTGTACCACGCCTGGAGCAACAGAGACCAGCACGGCCCCTGCGCGAGGGTGGCACGCAAGTTCATGATGCCTTCCACATGTTTTTGAAGTTAACTATCAGAACTTTTCAAAAGAAAAACATATTAATAAGGGACCAAAAAGTGCTGAGAGTCCCTCCCAAGCTCACCTCCACCTGCCCCTAACAGCATCGCCCCCTTGCCATGAGGTGGTCCCACCTGCCCGTGTCGCCCTGCCTGCCAGGGTCACTCCTGGCCTCGTGCCCTCCCTGCACTCACTGTTGACACCAGGCAGCCCTCCGCCCTCCTGGGAATTCTCAGCCCCACGCTGGGAAGGGTATGAGGCAGCCACCAGGGTAGGGCCCTCGACTGTCACATTCCTAGCTCCTCGGAGAGCTAGCTGCCTCTGAGCAGTCTCCCAGGGCTCACCCGCCTCTGTCTTATGTGAGGGGCCTTTGTGCATGGGGCCTGCTAGACTTAAGGGGCCGGTGCATAAGTGGAGTGGTATGAACAAGCCAAGTGGGGTCAGACGACATCCTCTGAGGCACAGGAGACAGGCCACAACCCCGACTCCCGAGATAGCCTGAGGGAGAGACACAGCCACACTCTTCACATTCCGGGGAGGAGCCAGGCCCTGGGGCTGGGTGGGGAAGGGGCTGGTGGGGGCCCCTCCCAAGCTCCTTAGGGAAGCCCGGGTGACCTGACGAGGGAGGAGCTCTCAGCCACTCTGCCAGGCCCCTGCCCACCTGCTCCAAAGCCCTAGGCCCGGTTGCCCGGCGGGTGGCAGCTTCCCCCACGCCACAGAGGCACCCTCAGAGCACCCCACCTCGTAAGAAAACTGCCTCCATGCCAGCGGCCCCAACGTGCTCCGGCGTGTTACCTTAAAGCCAAGGAATGCTTTTTCAGTATGATCCAGTCACTGTCAAGAGCCCTTCTTAAGGAGTGGAAATTCTTCGCCCGTTCTTACCATGTGGATATGGGACACACTGGAATATATCTAAACCTGCAAAAGCATTCCCTGAGTTTCAAAGGAAAGCAAACTTCCAAGAATTTTCATGGGATCCCTTCTGTTCCACAAAACCTATTCCAGTGGTGGTCAGATGTGGCCAACTCAAACACAGGTCAGATCTAGTGTCCCCAGCGGGCGACATGTTCGTGTGTCACAGGCATGTGTGTGCACAGCACAGGAGGTGTGTGTCACTGGACATGCATGTGGCACGGGAGGCCTGAGTTTGGCACAGAACCCTCCCATCCCCCCAGGAGCATCCAGACCTTGGCACGTGCCCTGCACCCTGGGTCTCCTGCTCCACATTCCAGCAGCTTACCCACTCCCTTGGGGCCTCACAGGGCCCCCTAGCCCAGCCCGCCCAAGCAGGCCATTGAGATCAGCAGGCCTCCTCCCAGCCACTGCCTCAGCTCAGATCAAATGCACAGAGAAAGACCCTTCAAGTACAGCCCACCTTAACAGTCTGGCTGAAACTATCTCTTGAAAAGATCTTTATGATTTTGCTTTCAGAGCTACTTGGCTAAAATTAATCCACACAATTTATGTTTGCCTCGGATTTGTAGGCAGTCATCCCATACACTCAGGAGTTCTTGTAAAGCAAGGGAATCTAACCTACAAATTGTAACCACTTTTTTCAAGATAAACAACACTGGTAACAAAAATCACTAAATTATAAGGATGATCTTGGAAAAAATGGACATCCAGGCAGAATCCAGGGGAGAAAACCCAGAGAGGACAATGGCACCACTGTACCCACTGCTGGGCGCGCCACCCAGATCTGCCAGCCCCGGACGAGAATGTGCATTTCTGGAAAGGGGCGGAGAGCAGGAGAGCAGGCCGCCAGCATCACCCCTGCTGGCTCCCATCCCAGCTGGGCCTCGGCCTTCAAAGGCTCAGGGATCAAAGAAGGGGACGTCCCACTGCATCCTAACACCCTGCAGAAAGACGAGGGGGAAAGGCTCCGGGGGCACGGGGACCTGGCTTGACAGAGAGGCTCTGAAGCAGCGTCAAAGGGCTGTCGTCACTGTGCCAGGGCGATCCTACAGGCGACCGCATTTCTGAGTCTTAGAAGAGCCTTTACTGCATCAGTGTGATGTATTAATCATGAATGGTTTCATCTAATGCTCCTCTGAATATTATCCCAGTAAGAGATGTGGATTCAATCTCTAGAAATGTAAGTTTATTTGGGGGAAACCAAGTGCAGGGTTTCTCTGCAATGTCCCAAAATAACATCAAAGCTTCTCATTCATGAAACAGAATGAGTGAGAAGCCTTGCTCACACCCGAGGCCACCCACTGGATGTGACAATTCACCACCACCCCCACATGCCCAGGAGGGGACGCCTGCCGGGCCTTACTGCACACACAGGACACCTCGGTAGATGGGATAAGTAACAGTGCCCGTGGCGGCAGAGCCCCGAGCGGGATCAGCCGGATCTAATGAAAGGATGCAGGTTCTCCAAGTCCAGAACACCACAGCGCCTCCCATGTCCTATTTCCTGCACGGCGCTTGAGAGCTTCTCACCCCGAGGCCAGAGCCATCCTTCTGAAACAGACCAAGCCGCATCATGGCCTCCAGATGGCTGGGGCCTTCCCGCTGCCCTGAGTGCGCAGGGCCTGAACAGCGGCCCTCCATACCCGCCACACGGACACCATCCATGCCAAGGGCCTCCCAGGCACCCTGAGAAAGCAGTCATTGAAAAGAATTGACAGCCACAGGTCAGGCGTGATGCTTCCTCCCTGCCAGCGCCACATCAACTAGCAGGTTCCTTGCATTAACATTAGCATAAGCCCGCGAGTGAGAACCAAGAATTCTGCAGGACAGGTGGAGTTAGGAGGACCTGTGCATATGTGTCTTGTTTTGCTTTTTTTTTTATTTTTGCCTGAAATCGTAAGAATTTGCTTTTTAACAATGTACTTTTACATTCTTCTCAAGTTGACACTGTACAAAAATCAAGATTTTCCTCTTTAGTACAGTCTGGGGTCCTGCCTTTTTTAAAGGGCAAAGCAGAGATTTAAGACACTCCCTGGGCCAGGCAGGGTGGCTCACGTCTGTAATCCCAGCACTTTGGGAGGCCGAGATGGGTGGATCATGAGGTCAGAAGTTCGAGACCAGCCCGGCCAGCATGGTGAAAGCCTGTCTCTACTAAAACTACAAAAAATTTGCCAGGCGTGGTGGCGCATGACTGTAGTCCCAGTCACTCGAGAAGCCAAGGCAGAACGGCTTGAACCCGACAGGTGGAGGCTGCAGTGAGCCGAGATGGCACCGCTGCACTCCCTGCTCATCACTCTGCCTCCTTAGAAGAGACAGGCAGGAGGCTTCCCCGTGGCTGGGCGCTGGGACGCCCACTGGCCCATCTTCTGCCTCTAGAGACAACCTGCCTCCTTCACGTCCAACAACCTCGTCACGATAGTTAGTTCCAACTCCCACGAGGCAGCCTCCTCCCGCTCCAGCAGCCTTGCTACAAAGCTGCACATCTAGAAACACTCCTGAGACATCCTGCAGGCCACCAGACTCAGGCATGGTCGCGCCTTGTCCGCCCCGCTATCTCCCAGTTATAAATCATCTTGTGGGCTCAGAGGGGCCTACGCCCTGCTGGGTCAGGCTCTCAGGGAGACGGCGTGTGGAGTACAGCATTCGCAGTGAGGCACGCACCACCCAGGCCAGCGGCCAGGAAGTTCAAGCCCGGGATGCTCAGGTGGGGCCTCGTGGGGCCCTGGCACAGGGACCTCCATTGTCACCTACTTTACAGATGAGCAAACGCCAAGCAAGCTGGTCAGGGTGACGCGAAGGGATGGCTGCTCATCTGTCTCATTCCAAAGCTCCTGCAGCTAATGACCTAAGGCTCCAAAATCCAATCCCTCAAAGCCCTTGTGGCCTGGCCTCCCCACCCCCTGCCCATCCCAGCACAAAGCCAAGCTTCACACCTCCCGCTGCTCCCTCCACCTGAAACGCTCGCTGTACACTCCAAAATCACTGGCCGCTTCACCCCAGCCACACAGGCCTCCATGTGGCCATCGTGCCTTCATTAGTCTTTCCAGGCCCCTCCCCCAGCCAGGGTCTGCACGCCCCATCCAACCCTTCAGCCAGGGCTTGGCCATACCAACCCGGTGTCACATCTGTGCTGCTAAATAGATATCTGTGGGCTGATTAAACAAATAAACCAGCGGAATTCCCTGTCTAAGCACTGTAACAGTAAGATTGCCCGGAGAGGAGCAAGCCCACTCCGGAAGCAGAATGCAGGTATGGGTCCCTGGAGATCAGCATGGATGTATGCGAAGGCCGAGCCGGGGGAGACTCAAGATGCTGACCAGGACCTCACACAGAGGAGGCCACCCCCAGGCAGGAGACCCACCAGCTGCATTCAAGGCCTGGGTCTGATCTAAGAGTGGGGAGCCGCCTGCCAAGGTGAAGCTGGTTTACTGAGGTCTCTGATCCAGTTGGCCTCCTAAAGTGGAGTTCAAGCAGTGCACGCACAGGGGCTAGGCGTGGGTCCCCACCGGGCAGCGGACGGCATCCATGGGCCTGGTGAGATCGCAGACATGAGTGGCAACGCAGCCTGGGCCTCGGCAGGAAACCCAGGGCTCAGCAGCCTCCATCGCTCACCCGTTATCCAGACCGTTCAGCCCCAGTTTCTTCCCTATGTCGCCAACCATCACTCCGGGCATGGGAAGAAGGGTCTTCGGGTCCCGGATCTGTACAAAGCCACAGAAAGCAGCAAACAGCAACTGTTACAATCACACACAAAAATCACAACAAATGTCTTCAAACACCCACAGGCCAGGCCGTGGGCTCATGCTGGGCGGCTGTGGGTTAAACTGGCCTCCAGAAACGATACAGACAAGTCCTAAGCCCAGGGCCTGGGAATGGGAGCTTACTTGGAAACAGGGCCCTTGCAGATAGAATGAAGTTCAGAGCATCGAGATGAGGGCATCCTGCATCACCCAGGTGGGCCCTAAACCCCACAGCAGGTGTCCTGTGAGAGACAGAAGAGGAGTGGGCATGGGAAAGAGGCAGCCCATGGAGGCGGAGGCAGAGAGTGGGGCGCTGGGGCCACAGGGAGCTGGAAGAGACAGGAAGGATCCCCCCTGGAGCCTTTCGAGAATGCCACCCTAAAGATGCCTTGATTTCAGACCCCCATTCTCCAGAGTCGGGGGAGTACATTTACACTGTTTTGAGTGCCCCACATTTACGCTGTGGGGCTTTGCCGCGGCAGTCGTGAGAGGCTAGCACGGGAGCTGGTGCTGCCGGGAAGACGCTGGGAATTCCACATTCATGTTTCAGACATAGGACTTCCCACTAGATTTTAATAACGTGACAAAATGGCTGTGCAAATGGATGCAGTGGGAGAAATGGCCACGATTATTCTGGTCAATCACCACTCCCCAGGACAAGGTCCAGCCAGCTGACAGCTGCGCACTGTGGGAACCTGAGGGAAGGACGAGGAGCTTCATCCTTGAGCAATTACAGCAGGGATTCCCAACCATGGGACGTACCACCTGCCCCTTCCTGGCCAGGGTACACAGATCGTGGTGTCTGGAGAGATTCTGGTTGTCTAAACTGCAGGGAGCTGTGGCTCAGAGTGGGCAAAGGTCAGAAGTGCTGAGCTTGGGGCACACAGGCCCCAGCCCAAACTGTCAACGGTGCCAAAGTGGAAAAGCCTACATTAGAGAGACGTGGAAGTGGTGCTGCTGGGAATTCAGCTACGTGCATGACTTGCTAACTAGCTTCTGCGTATGTCTGTGAATGCGCCATCTAACTGAACTTTAAAATAAACATTTTATGTAAACAGCCTTGCCTTTTCTAAAATCTTTCAGCAAGGCCCAGTGAAGATTCAGACACTGTCTCAAGAGAAAAAAGAAAAGAAACCTGCAAAAGATGCCAGCCCCTCCACCCAGCAGCTCAAGTCTGGGTCACGAGTCACAATCCTGACCGAATAACACCATGACGACTGCTTCCATCCCTCATCAGGCAAGAGGCCATGGCTCTGGGAGGGAGGACTCAGGGTGCCCTGAGCACTTGGCCCAATCCACAGCAGGCATGCTGTGGTGCTCTAGCGGCGAGCGGGGCAGCACAGTCCCGCGGAGTGTTTCCAGCACAGTATACGTGGGTCTAAAGCACTGTGCTCTACAGCCCCAAAATCAGAACGCCAACAGCCGCTGAATTCTAGTCCAGGCAACTCCCGCAAGAAGTCTGCTCCAGGTACAAACCTATAACCACAGAGACAAGGTACGGTGGCCTCAGGTAACTATGATCCTGTGATACACACACATTTGGCCTTGTCCTGCTTCCCAGCACACAACTCCTGAAACCCTTGCCTCTGCAGTGGTGAGAGTCTTTTGTATGCTCGTTGAGATGGCTGGGGGCTGGGGACCTGTGGGAAGTAGAAAAGCTCCTTTTCAAAGTTTCCTTTCTTGTTAAAGAATAAATCATAAGTGCGCTAATAACTCTTTGTGAAGCCCTATCCTACGTAGCTGTTAGACACGCCATGCTTACAGGCATGTAGTACATTCTATGTCCTTGTATGTTAACCAAGATACCTGTGCTGGACGTGCTCACAGGCATGTCCGTGCTCTCCACTGCTTTTACCTGTTAAGAAAAGTTTTAAGTTGTTAGCCATTTGGGTTTTAGTTTAGATTGTGAGGTCTGGCTCCAGCCAACAGAGATCAGACACAGTAGCAAGGACAACCCCGAATGTGTAAGGGACAAATTTGTGTTTTCCTTTGTTCATTGCACTCATGACATGGTGGCTAATGAGGGTACCCTTCCTGCAATCCAGGAAGTAAAAATTGCATTGCTGGAAGATCCTTTGATTCAGTGCTAATTTTTCTTTGCAGCACCGAGCATCTATTTCCAACAGGAACCCTAGATAGCTTCAGGATTAAGACCAAGGCCACAACCTGGACTTGCCATTGGCATCCAAAGGAAGGGGGGCCGTCTTGCGGGACTGAGCCCTCACTGTGGGATCTGAGGCTCACCCCAGGTGAACAGGGTCGGTATGGAGCTGAATCAGAGGACACCCAGCTGCTTTCAGCTGCAGAGCTGCTTGCTGGTGGGGAGAAACCTACACACATCTAATGTCAGAAGTGTTGTGTTGGGCCGGGCGCGGTGGCTCAAGCCTGTAATCCCAGCACTTTGGGAGGCTGAGGCGGGTGGATCACGAGGTCAAGAGATTGAGACCATCCTGGTCAACACGGTGAAACCCCGTCTCTACT